TCCAAGGGTCATGAGGTACTGTATGCATTTAGAGTTAATTCTAAGAATACTGCTCGCCAGAGGTTAGCGAATTCAGGCTCTGCGCACCTTGCTGACAACAGTTCTGACCTTCTCTTGAATGTTCTCTCATAAATAGTCGAACCTGAGCGAAATATTGAGAACTTTTTATGCTTACCGTTTCCAGTGTGAACAACCAATATTTTAAGGGCTCGGGTGCCCAAGACAGTTGCCCTGACCGAGCTAACTTTTCACTTATTTAATTGAAAAATTCAACCAACCGTTTACATATGAGAAGCGCAATTTCGTCTCAGTGGGCGAGATAACTCGGGTGAGCGATCAAAAGTTGTCTCGTCTCGACAGGTAAGGTAACCCTGACTGGCGGAACAACTTTATCTCACATGAACTTTGGCTCACGCATCGGAGTAATGAGCGTCACGTTATGTCTAGATTTGACGTTTTAAAGTAGAAACTTTTATCTAAGAAGTTAAAATTAATTCGGCAAAAGTTACTGTGATTGAATGACCGAAGGAAGCTCAAAGAAAGAGGGATAATTGTGCATTTGAATATTCAATAATTTCACGCAAGGGAACGTCAAGTGGGGACAAGCCCCTTCAATCAATCAATCAAACAATCAATCAACTTTATATCGAGAGCGTGACACATGACAGTATAAACTGATAAACTAGTGGCCCTCTGTCTTAAAAATCCCCTTCGTGTGTGCGGATAGGACGCATGGTTGGCGGTACAAAAGCTGGTGCTCACGAAGCGGATATGGGTTCACTGATTCTATGTTGTAGCGGGAACAGTTTGCCACTATCATCCTCGTTCCCATGAAGTAGTGCAGTGGAAACGTCGCGATCAACGTCTGAAAGTGACTCCATCGTGAAAACAAACGCGGAGTAAACATTCATCTATAGAAACAAATTAGCGAATGAAAGAAATCTGACAACCTCGTCACCTAGCACAATTCACTGCAGACATCAAAAGACCGCTTTTTATTCTATTCACTTCTTTCTTTCTTGTGTCAACACCAGTCTGCGTTATTATTCAATTGTGGGTCAACATGATGTTCAATAGAGACTTTATTAGAGAATTAACTCCAGCGTACCATTACTAAACGTAAATCAGCGCCAATTCTTTATAGGGACTACAACAGCCACCTCACTGGCAAAGGCTAGAATATTTCGTCTGGATTCTAAACGGGTTTATAAACTAGGGATTTCACTCCAGTTGAAAYTAGCTTCCTAAAAATAGGCCCTATTAGAGGTTTTGGGGACATGGGATATTAAGCTACAAAACTAACGGGATACAGAAGATTTGGGGAAAAAAAATTATTGGATATGGAATATTTAGAACAGATATCCCGGGATATCCAGTAGGAAAACTGATTATGTTCGGAATACGGGATATTTAGGCCAAAAATTAGCGGGATATGGGATACTCAAACCTCCCACCCTCTCCTCCTCCCGCCCCCACTCCGCCCACAGGGGCCAGTTAACTCTGGCCCATGCATGGTGTAGTTCCTGCACCGACGTTCAGCTGATTACGTCTGCTGTGTTTCTGGCTTTTAGGTTGTTTTGGTTGTTCCCTCGTCCTGTAGAATCAAGCCCAGTGAGAAAGTGGCGCACACGATTTACCAAGTACCATACAAATCAGAATTCTTCGAGTATGACTTGGCCCGGCTTGAAATGGAAGGAAACAAGTTCCAGTTATTGAAGAAAGTGAGTGAGGCACAGGTTACTATGTGCGAACGATTTTTACAGAGCACGGAGTTGCAGGAGAAACTGAAAGGGGTCGATATCATTGTTTATGACAGTGTTGCACGTTGTCCTGCAGTAATGCTTGGGGAACGCTTTGACATTCCAAGAGTGGAAATTCTGCCTCTTCCACTAACTGCAG